AAGAAATTGTGTGATCAATACAATGTGGGTGGAAAAGGAATGGAAGACAATTGTAGACACCAGAGACAATGGGAGAAGAGGGTGGGAAAGGACAGAGGGTCAGAAAGAGGGGTAAAAAAATTATAGAAACTAGAAATGAAAAACTTTTGATAATAATATGCATGATTAAGTCACTATGCAGTATATTCTGGATGGGAAATCTGTCGTATGCTGTGAAGATGCTTAGCGAAAGAATGTAAATTAAGTTACAAAAAAAAAGTTTCAGAAAAAAAATCTCTTCGATGACCGCAGTAAGATATATAGCCCTAGCTAGGTGCTACTTTATAGGATGCCTAAAGTTAGACTTGTGTTCATGGAAATGTATATATCAGCTGTGTTTGCTATGAAAATATTTAGATTAATTAAGATCTTTAGTAATTCAATAAAATGTGTGTGTGGGGGGGAAACAGTATAGAAAGTAAACATAGATACCAGAGACAGTGTGGGAAGAGAGTGGGAGATGGCAGTGGATAAGAGATAGGGAATCAAGGATGAGGGGGAAAAAAGCAAAACATACAGGGAACAAGAAATGGAAAATTATTTGTTGACAATAACATGTATGTTGATGTGCTTGATTGAGACAATACACAGTGTACTCTGGATGGAAAATCTCATTTTGTATGCTGTAATGATGTACAGTGAATTAACATAAATAAATAAATTTAAATTTAAAAAAACAAAAACAAACAAACAAAAGAATTGTGACAACTTTCTTCATTTTAAAAAAAAAGTTAGGGTTTTTGATTGTTCCAGAGAAGTACTTAAATCATCTCAGTCTGAAGTTGGATAAGATAAGGCCAAATCAGTAGAATAAGTTATACTAAATTTACATATTATTATAATTTAATGGAAATGATCACTCTCATAAGGTGGACCGCAGCTGAATATCATCAGTCATTATTGTGTGACTATATTTTTGGGTATCATTAAAATAATTCAAAAACAAATTTCCAAAGAATGGTTTCCTCTTCCCTTGAGTATAAAGAGCACATAATAACACCCAAGGAAGTACCTACCATTGCCAGACAGAGTGATACCAGTCTTTGCATCATCATTGTGAGGGAAGTAAGTGTTGCAGTCTGCACCTATCCAGTGCCTGTTGCACACACATTTCAGCTCATTACTGCAAACCTGAAATACAAAATCAGGCTAGAGTAAATATCAACTCTGGTACACATGCATGAATGATAACATTAATTTCTAATTTTTATATGCTTAGAATTTCATGATACTAAAAAATTACTGGTACTTTCTAATGCTAATTTTTATTTATTAATTTTTTTTGGAGAGGTTTTTACTATAGGGCACATGCACTCACCAAAAAGACAGATAGAGACAGAGAGATGAAAGCAAGAAATCATCCCCCAGGGGAGTGGCCATGCCGCAATCCCTTCTCCTTCACTCTCCTGTTGGGATATTGGGCACACACGCACACGCACTCAGCGTGCGTTTAAGCCATTGGGTCTGGGACTTGAACCGCAGTCGACTACATGGGAGTCCAGTGACATAGCCGACATAGCCATTACGCCAACTGCTGGTCCCGCTACTTATTTTCTTATTCTGATACCTTAAAAAAATTTTTAGAGACCAATAGTTAACCTTAAAGAAATAATGAATTCGTAAAGAGGAATTAATCAATGTCTAAAGAAAAAAAGACAGGGAACAGCAGATGGTGTAGTGATCACGTTTCTGGCCACAGTTCGAGTCTCAGACTCCGTAGCTTGAAAATCACGCCAGGCCCGTGTGTGTGCGTGTCCAAGATCCTAAAAAGAGAATGGAGGAAAAGGACTGTGGTGTGGCCATCTTGTCCCTGGGCGGAGGGGTGGGGGAGTGATTTCTCACTTTCCTTTGTCTCTTTCTCTCTTCAGCAAGGAAAAAAAACCTCTTAAAAAAAAAAAAAAAAGAGAAAAACAACATAATTATTGTTTAGCTTTCACTAACTTAACTTTTATGAGAAAAATTTTAAAAACTAAGCAGAATAGGAGCCGGTAGGTAGCATGGTGGTTAAGACGCTGGAGTCCCACATAGCAATTGTGGTTCAAGTCCTAGACCCAGTGGCTTGAAACTCACACTGGGCCCATATATGTGCATGCTCAAAATCCCAAGAGGAGAAAAAGAGATTGAAGTGTGGCCATCCTCCGTGGGGGGTGATTTCTCACTTTTCTTCTCTCTGTTTCCCCTTGGTAAGCATACACGTCCTATGGGAGGAAAAAACGCACTAAGCCGAATATATCCATCTATCCATTATTGAATACAGCTTTTTTTTTCCCTTCTAAAGAAAGGGTCTTTATGCAAAAATGTTAACTTTTTAGGAAGTAGATATAAATAAAGAGAAGTCCAACACAGAAGTGGGAAGCCTAATGTTTTGCAGTGGTCTGAGAAGAACTCTCAACAACCTCTAGCCCTGGCACCTCAACCCAAGTCACAGAGACAGGGCAACTCAGGGTCAAGGGAACTAAGAATTCCCACAAATAAAACACAGAAAAAAATTCACAGAAAAGTAACATCAATTTTTTTAAAAACTTATAGGAAAATAATCTCCACTTATCCATCCAGGAAACAGAATCTACACCTACATTTTATAACGCGAAACAACTTTAAAGTTGTCCTGGAGTGGGATATAGGAGAGAGTTAAGTTGGGTTTAAAAATAGTTGTTTCTCCTGAGACAGGTTCTTACCACAGGGTTTCAGTCTTGTCTTATCTAATTTTCCAGAAAATAATGTGTATTCATATCTAAATGTAACTATACTATAGCCCCATGAGGTGCTACAAGTTAACAAAGATACAGAAAGAAAAAAGGTTAGGATTAAAGTCAAAAGGCCTGAACTGAGTCCCCATTTCACTACCAATTTACTAAGGGTCCTTAATCAGATCACAGGGCTTCTCCAAACATCAGTTGTCATAACATACATCAGTACCATTAATCTATTTCGGAAAGAAACAGAGTGTGATACCAGATGCATAATACCTAACATTTATTGAACATTCACTATATACCAAGCATTGTTTTAAAGACTTTACAAGGGACCCCACAGATGGGGTAGCGGTTACGTCACTGGACTCCTACATGGCTGACCACAGTTTGAGTCCTGGACCCAGTAGCTTGAAAATCATGTTAGGCACGTGTGTGTGCATGCCAAAGATCCCAGGAGGAGAATGGAGAAGGGATTGTGGTGTGGCCATCCCCCCTGGGATGGGGGGTGATTTCTCACTTTCCCTTTTACTGTGTCTGTTTCTCTCTCTCACCAGCAAGTGGATGTGCCCTAAGGCAAAAGCCTCCCCAAAAAAAAAAAAAGGTGAGTGGTTTTACAAGTATTAACTCATTTATTCTTCACAGCAATCTTACAAAGTATGTACTACTATAAGCCCTATATTACAGAAGAAATTTAGTCAGAGGGAGGCTAAGTCATTTACCAGTCACCAAGCTAGTAAGCAGAGCATTTGATTGTAAGACCACACTCTTGGGCCTAAACACAGACCATTTGACTAAGCCACACTTAACTACGTGATGAACAGTAGTATGGTATTTCTTACTTCAATTTTTTTCATATACACAAAGTCAAATTGCCATAAGTTGACAGCACAGGCTACCACACTTCCATATTATGTGTTATTATAAACTATTTGGATCCTATTTGCCATCCGATTTACTTGTGCTTATTACTCTTCTACTAATTCATTAACCAAGTGGTTATTGAACACAACTATATTTGAAGTTGTGTTTTCTACTAAAAATTGGAAGATGGAAAAATACGGTGTTCATTAGTGATCATTCATTAATGATCAAAAGATAATTCTATTTTTTTCCTTGCCTACCCAAAAACTATTCCATTCCCTTAACATTCTCTTAATAATTTAGAACCTCTTTATAGCAGTAGAACTATTTATTATATGTCTTCTTTCTTCTTATGGGCCATAAAAATTCCCAACCTTTAGTAAGGAGTAAGAATTAGTGACTTTCCTAACAAAATTCTTGGCCTATCTTCTGAGATATACATGAAATAACTAGGACTATCCAAAACATGAATCCTTTACCTCAACTGTATGATATGCCCAGTTCAAGCAGAGAATCTGGAATTAGGGTAAAAATCAAAGCGCCAAGAATCAAATGTTTTTGTTAGTATAGGAATTTCAGTAACTGAAAATTATAAAACTGTTATCACTAACAGAGGGTAACTATTTAACCTATAAACTCATTTATACAGGACCTACATTATCTGATAAATAACTAAAAGAATGAAATTAAAAGTCTTTCTAAGGATGTTCTTACTATTCAGGTCTAGGAGATATTTCCCTAATTATTGTTCTTATTTCTGGGACTTATTCTCAGCTGGTACACTGGTGTGGTCACAGCAGTTATGTCGTCTATTCTGACTGGCCAGTGCCCAACCACACTCATTGTTAGTTATTGTGGCCACTGCCTTTGCCCTTTGCTTTTAAAAAACTTCTGGGACCAGCAGTTGGCATAATGGTTATGTTGCTGGACTCCCACATAGTCGACAGCAGTTCGAGTCCTAGACCCTGTGGCTTAAAACTCATGCCAGGCATGTGTGTGCATGTGCCTGCCCATAATCCCAAGAGGGGAATGAAGGAGAAGGGATTGTGGCATGGCCACCCCCCCTGGGGTGAGGGTGAATTCTCACTTTCTATCTCTCTGTCTTTTTCTGTCTCTCTAGCAAACACATACACCCTATAGCAAAAATCTCTCTTAAGAACAAAAAACAAACGCATTATAGCATTATAGTTCGTTAAAATCTGTCTCCTGCTTCATTTGTAGGAAATCGGTATTATAGTATATGAGACCACATTAACAGAAGGGAAGATGGAATAATTGGGTTAGGAATATTATCCTTTTCCTTATTCCCAAACTTTCTCAGATTACACAACAGAACTATTTAAATAGCTATGGTCAAATTAGTGTTATGTTTTCTATTTGTAAGGAAATAAGCAGTTGAGGGTCATATCTCTTTCTGTGATATGAAAGAAATATTTCCCCATGGTGAAGTACTGAATACTTACCCCATTTCCTGAACAAACAGTGCCTTCTTTACTGCTTAAACAAGTGCTGAAGTTGAAGGAAGCCACAGGAAGACATCTGTGTTCCAAGCACATCATTTGGGGACCACAAGGTGTCCCATCTTCCACATAGCCAAGATCTACATCTTCTTCAAGCTTAACATGCCCACCACTAACATTAATTGGGAGGAAAAAGAAAATGGGATTCCATTAATTCACATTCATCTTGAGAACATAGCAAAAACTAAAAAATGGGTAATTTCACTTTCTCTATTTTCTACTTATTATTTAATAAAAACAAGTAATGTAAGTATGTTCAAACTTTAAATGAGGAAAGCAAAAGAATCTTTTGATTTAATAATTTTCGGTGAAATTGATATGATTTAGGGTTTAAACATAATTATTATAACAAAGCCTGAATTGAAACAGTTTTATCATTTTGCTTTGGCTACCATATACAAGACAGTAGAGCATCATTACTAGTATTTGACTTGATAACTAGGTTTGAAGATTTCAAACGTCTTTCAGACAAATGAAAACTGGTTTTGGTTTGCATTTTCAAAAAAAAAAAGCACATTATGTACAAATCATACCTAAGAATTGACTAAACTATTATAGCTTCACAAGTCAATATAGCAAGCCCACATATTATATAGAAAAATTTTTAAAGGACAAAAATTGAAAATGTATAGGTAAAATCAATGTATTATGGTGCCATATCAAAATATAGTATAAAAATCCCCATTCTTTCATTTTATAAAAATTATACATGCACATAGTTAAGAGACTCAAATAAATAAGCTGCGGTTTAAAAAAAATTTTTTTTTATATTTCCTATAGGGCACATGTGCTGGCTGAAGACAGAGAGAGAGAGAGAGAAGGAAAGTGAGAAACCACCTCCTCCCCATGAGGGACAGCCATGCCACAATCCCTTCTCCTCCATTTTCCTCTCAGGATTTTGGGCATAAGCATTGTGAGTGTTTTCCAAGTCACTGGGTCTGGGATTTGAAATGTGCTGTTGGTCATGTGGATTCCAGCTACCTTAATTACCACACCACTGGCAGGTCCAATAAATTGTTTTTTTGAAATGCAATAAAGAAGAGATGAGGCCAGCTAGGTGGCATGGTAGTTAAGGCAGTTGTCTCTGACATGGTTGGCTTCATGGTTCCAGTCCCAGAACCAGCAGTCATTTGTGCATGATGCCCAAAATCTCAAGAGGAGAATGGAGGAAAAGGGATTGTGGTATGGCCATCCCCCTTGGAGGGCGATGTAGTTATTTCTCACTTTCCTTCTTATTCTCTCTCTCTGTCTCTCTCTCCAGCAAGAGCACATGTCTCATAACAAAAAAACAAACAAAACAAAAAAAAACCAGGGCTGGCCCTATAACCTAGTGGTTAAGGCAACCAGGTCTCACATGGCTGACTACAGTTCAAATCCTGGTGCTGGTCCCGGTGGCTTACAAAACTTGCTTGTTATCAGGAACCAGCAGTTAGCGTAATGGCTATGTCGCTGGACTCCCACGTAGTCGACTGCGGTTCGTGTCCTGGACCCGGTGGCTTAAAACTCACGCCGGGCACGTGGGTGTGCGTGCCCAAGATCCCGAGAGGAGAATGAAGGAGAAGGGATTGCGGCGTGACCATCCCCCCTGGGGGGTGATTTCTCGCTTTCTGTCTCTATGTCTCTCTCTGTCTGTCTGGCGAGCGCACGCGCCCTACAGTGAAAATCTCTCAAAAAAAAAAAAAAACTTGCTTGTTATGTGTGCATGCATACTCAAAGTCTGGTGTGTGCATGTGAATCCGAAATCTAACGTGACTATGCCCTGTGTGGGGTCCTTTCTTCCTCTGCCTATCTTTTGGGCAATTTTACTCTCTGGTAATTAAAAGAAATCCAATAAAGCAAATCCCTGCCCCATTCCTCCATATGCAAACTCTTCCATTTTTAAGTGATTCTTTTGTTTTTATGTACTTATCTTTAAAGAATGGAATTGTATTACTATTTTTCATTTTTAAATTTTAGGTATTTTCAGTTATCTTCCACCTATAAAATGTGAGAATTTACCTCTTTCCTATCCCTCTCACACCACACACACACACACAAGATTTTTCCCTTTCTCATATCCCCTCAACACAAATTTTGTTAATCAATAACAGGTATGTACATTATTATAACTATGTGAATGTTACTGAGTTGAGTGATACTATCATAATTAAACCTTTTATTTTCCTGTTTGACTTTTTCTCTTCCCTCAGATTAGCAAGTCCCCTATTTGTTCATTATGTCTTTGCCTACCTTTTAAAGAATTCATCCTTAAATCAACATTTGTGGAATCTCTCTAGTAGGTGTCAAAATCTCCAAACAAGATACATCTGAACATCGGTTCACCTTCCCAAAGAAAGAGCTCCTACAGTTCTGGCCAGCTTCTATTTGTTCTGGTTGTTTTTACATTTCTGGAATAGAGCTATAAATCCTATTCTGTTTCTCTCCCATAGACTATTCTGTTTCCTATATTTCTTGCTTTTCACTCTCTTGATTTACTACTTAATTTTGGTGAGACACAATTTCCAGTAGCTTCCTGAGCAAGGGTATAGGAGTATAAATTTTAGAGAAACCTGCACATCAAAAAATGTCTTCTCTTTTAAAAACAAACAAACATTTATTCATTTATTTATTGGGTGACAGAAAAGTGATGATGCATTTTTGCATTAAAAACCCAGAAAAAACATGTCATGACTTTTCCAACAATCCAATATTTATCTATTTATCTGTTGTGATTTTTAGGCTACCAGGTCCAGGACTTGAACTACAATCAGCCATGTGGGAGTTCAGTGTCTCAATGACCACACCACTTGCTGGAGCCAAAATGTCTTTATTTTCTACTCCCACGCTTGATTGATATCTTTCCAGGTTATAAAATTCTAGTTTGGAAATAATTTTCCTTATTGTCTTCCAACTCCTACAACTCCTGTTGATAATTCCTAAGCCATTCTAATTCCTAAGCTCCTCTTTTATTCTTTGTCTCTGAAAACTTTTGAGATTTTTAAGATTATTTTCTTGGTCCTAGGGTTCCACAATTTCATAATGATATATTCAGCTATGTCTAATTTCACTCACCATACCTGGCACTTGGTGAACTTGCTAATAAGAAATCAAATCCTTCTGTTCTAGACGATATTTAGGTCATTTACTGATGATTTCCTACCTGCTATTTTCTCTGTTCTTTATTATTTGTATTCTTATTTGGTCAGTTGTTCTGTAGTTTCTGGGAAACGATTTCAACTAACTTTCACTTCTGCCATGAAATTTTAGTTTCCGGCAGCATCTTTTCCTTCTCTGAATAATTTTTTTTTCTTTTTTAAGTAGCACCCTGTTTTTTCTTTCATGACAGAAGCCTCTTATTGCTCACAGATATTGATAGATGGTTTTCTTTTTCCCCCTAGGTACTTGTTTTTGTCTCATTTATTCCTGGCAGGGACTTTCCTCACATGTCTGCTCAACTGTTCACATTTGAACGGGGGGACCAAATAGATGACTAGAAATTCTAGGGCTTTCTGGCAACATAATTGAAGCCACACCACTTCCAGACAACAGTGGTTATAGTATTGCCTACTGTTCCTTCAGCTTGGAAACCTAGTCTTTTATTCTCTGCAAGATATAAAGCTCAAATTTTTCATGGGAGGATGGCAACTTCCAGTTTAGCTAAGTTGGGGAAGTAATCTGTGTATCTAATTGCATCTTTGATCCTCCTGCCTTTCTTTTTTATTTCAGCTCTCCTCCCCAAAGTACTTTTCTTCCTCTTCCAAAACTAGATGATGCTGCCAATATCTGAGCTTTTTGGAAAGTGACAGTAAATTCTGGACACGGTCTTGGTTTTCTACATTATCAACTCAGAGGTTGAATTTAGCTTGGTAAGTCATGTGCTACACACTGATTCTCTTTTCTTTTTTTTTTTGAGAGGTTTTTGCTATAGGGCGCATGCGCTTGCCAGAAAGACAGAGAGAGGCAGAAAGTGAGAAATCATCCCCCAGGGCGGATGGCCATGCTGCAATCCCTTCTCCTCCATTCTCCTCTCGGGATCTTGGGCACGCACGCACATGCACCAGGCGTGAGTATAAGCCATCGGGTCCGGTACTCAAACCGCGGTCGACTACATGGGAGTCCAGCGACATAGTCATTATGCTAACTGCTGGTCCCCAACACACTGATTCTCTTTGACACGTTTCAAAATATTGTTGCTGCTGTTCTGTCACCCTTTCCATGCCTCCCTGTGGATAGATGAACTTTACAGAAAGATCCCTCTCTTCAGTGTTATTTTAGTAGGGTTTTAGAAGGAAGCAATAGTGCATACATTTAATCCACCAACTATACCCAGAAGTCTCCGTTCATTTTCCTTAATGAGAATTAACTGCAAGCTAAACCCTGCAAGATTTTATTAAGCAAATAAACAACACTCTGGCAACCACATAATATGCTACACTCAATTAATTCTTATCTTCTTTTATCTCTCTCTCTCTCTCTCTTTCAGGCTTTACTCAATCACCTCTTGGACTAGATCCTATTTTGGCTTATTGACATGCCTGTGAACAAAAAACAGTAGTCCTAAGCAGCACTCCTGGGAAGTAAGAGTACCAATGTACTCACAGAGCGGTTAGATGATTACCTGCAGTTCAGTGTTCTGCCCTGCTGCATGACTAACGTAGACGTGATCTCACCATCGAGTTCTCCAAGCCGGGGGATGTTACCGATATTAGTACACAACAGGTAACCACAAAGCACATCCCTGTGTTAAAAGAGTAGCAGTTATTTACTTTACTTTTTTCCTCCAAAGACATAACAAAGCATGTACAGCTAGAATGATAATCTTATTTCACTTTAACATTTGTTTTGCATCACCTCAATTAGTTACTAATCTGTCAAGGATAACATTGGGTCATCAGAAAAGTTGTAATATATTTTTCTATGCAAAAATGCATCGTGACTTTTCTGACGACACAATAAAATAAGGTCAAATTAGTGTGCTTCGTGCTTTAAAACATGTCCTCTCTTAACTCTTGCTAATTTACCAAAATCCTAATCATTTTCTAGTTTTTCTTTTATTATTCATTAGTTGAAGTATTTATTTAAAGGAAATTATCCATCAAGTAGTAGACTTCTACTATATTATAATCTCTTTTCCCATAACACATTACTGATATGCTAAACTTTAAAAAAGGCATTTGATAAGTGATTGAATGACATTTGGATGAGCATTCTTTTGGAAAGCAGATGTCTCTTTAATCTGCTGCCTCAGAACTTAAAAAGGGATTTTTATATATAGCATATATTTTAGAGTCTCCACCATAAAGTTTCATCATCTTTTCTTCAATATACTTCACTATTTCCCCAACTATCACATATAATTCTAATTTAACTTGTAAATATTTTTATTTATTTATTTATATTCTATCACTATGTATCATTACAGCATGCCAAATGACTTTTCCCATCATGAATATACTGTATATTGGTTCAGTCAAAGATATTACAATTCACATTATCATCAACAGATAATTTTCCATTTTTGTGTCCCTTAAATACTTGACTTCTTTCTTTTTCCCCATGACTTTCTCCCTCTCACCCTCCCCCACTTTCCACCCCTCTCCCACACTATCTCTAGTACCCACAGTTCTAAATATTTTCACTGTCCAAAGATGGCTGACAGCTGAGTGGATCACAGCATCAAGACCCTGTTGGGGGTGCTCTCTCTCCCTTATACAATAAACAGACTTTCAAAATATTTCCACTGTTGTTAAATGCTATCACACATTTTCTTTATGCCTTACACATATTAATCATTAATAAATGACAAATACATATTTAGAGCATCCCTAATCAAAATATCTAAAATGCTCCAGTACCCAAAACTTTTTCAGTGCCAACATGACTCCATAAGTGAAAAATTCCACACCTGACCTGATGTGACAGGGTGAAGTCAAAATATTACAGTACAAAAGTACTGCATAAAATTATCCTTGGGATATACATATGTTATATATTATATATTATCTATGAAACATATATGAAAATCATGAAAGATCATGATCTTTATCCTCAAGGAAATTATCCTCTAGATAAGAAGATAAATTACACACATAAACAACTATAAAACACAGAGTTGGGGCCAAAAGCCATAAGAATAGTACAAAATGCTATTAGAGTTCAGAAAAGAAGAGCAAGGTGATTTATTTCTTGAGTAAATAAGAAATTTATAGAGACATTTTATGCTCTGTTTTTCAAGCTGGGCTATGAACACTCATAAATTTTTGACTGGTGATGGCATGGGAACAAAGGGTGCCTCCCTTTATATGCAATGGACAGCCCAGACATCATCATGGAGGTAAGTATCAGGAACGGTAAGGGTAGAGAAGAAAAGATAAAGCTAAACGAATTATGAAAAAGTACAGTAACTGTGCATCAGTCTTCTCCCCCATAGAATGGAAGGACTGCCATAAAGATTAGGTGGCATCTCTGGGGTCAGCAGATGTCATAATGGTTATGTTGCTGAACTTCTTCATGGCCAACTGCAGTTCGAGTTCCAACCCAGAAGCTTGAAACTCATTCTGGACACGTGTGTGTGCATGCTCAAAATCCCAAGAGGAGAATGAAGGAGAAGGGACTGCAGCAAGGCCGTCATCCCAAAGAGTTGGGGGGGGGGACAATTTATTGCTTTCTGTCTCTCTCTCCAGAAAGAGTATGTGCCTCATAGCAAAAACGACTCTTTAAAAAAAAAGATTAGATGGCGTTTCTAACACAAAGTGGGATCC